TTGCTGTTCAGCGAAAGACTATTTATGTTTATTTATAGCATATGCAGCCGCAACATTTAAGTCTGTAACCATATGGATCCCTATTATTTTTAAACTCAAATTTTGATACGGCAGCGGTTCGTGCTGTAATTTTAATGTCATGCTGGTTTACTGTCAGTGAATCTACCGGCAATCCTGCAACTACCAACTGCACCAGCTTCAGGGTCCAACGGCTGACAGTCTTTGAAGCTAGTACATTTACGGCTCTAGATATTACCATTTCTGTGGACTGAATAAGTCGAAACAATCTCACTATTTGACACACTGCAGTTCATTGTTCGCTGGTCCGTGCATGACAGCCTAAGCGAATCCCGTTACTTAACATGCAGTTAGGCTTCAGGTGTGCTGAGGGGATGAAGTTCTGAGTGGCAGAATGGCAGTCGCCGGTATCTCAACAGTCTGCTTTTGTAGTGTCTGCAGTCGGTGAAAATACAACAGATGCCGAACTTCGGACAACATGGATGTGTTACTATGTTAAATATCTCCCATGGATTACACATTTAAGCTGCCTTGGAAGATAGTGACGAAAATTCCATAAAATACTAAGATATGTATGCAAGCCCATCTTAAGTTACCACAATCAACATTAGGTGGGATAAATCCAACCATAATTGCCTTTTAGGTTACTTGTGAACTGGACAACAGTGCAATAAAACGGGTCAGCTGTTAACAAGTTGGTGACAATAAATATGAGTCCACACGGAAGAAAATCCAGTGGACAGAACTCAAAAGGTGCTTTTCAAATACGTGAGCACAGTAAATGATGACCCTGGTACAAAAATGGTCCCTTAACGAAGTATTTGGGGGAAAATCAAGTAGGCGTATCATCAAGTGTGAAGTTTCGGCACTCACGCGACACTGAGTCGTGAGGAGCAGATAAGCTTCTCGAAGTTTTCAACTTTCAGTATCTGACAACCAGCTGATCGTCCCATATGAATCGCTTTGTAGCAATACAGGGAAACATTCTACCCTCGTGGTACTTCTGACGGGAATATATCTCAGAACTTTGTTGTTGAGCCAAACTACATTAGCGAACTAAAGCCAGTATGCACAGTTCCTGGTACAATCTGCAAATGACTTCATGGATTATTTGTGCTAAATGGCTAAAAGATTCTATCAATTACGGCCAGAGAGAGTACCACTTCTTCTGGTCAGATATGAAATATCGAGATTTCACTAACTAGATATTACACAGTCCACTGTAGCAAACGCACGAGGCAGTTATGTATGCGACCGTTTCAAATATGCATGTGATGAATACATATTCCATTTAACAGAAAATCGTCCTCTATTGATAAAGTGTAAGGTTGTAGGGAATCATATAAGTTAGTCAGTTCAAGTGAATCTCGGCTACTTCAATTTCACTGGTGAACGTGTTTGTGTGTGTTGACTATATTACACAGCAGACAGTTTGATTTTCAAGGGGCAATAGTTCGGTGGCTTCACTGTGTTGTGATCGTGCTCCTTTCATTCCATTTTCAATAGTTACATCCTTGAACGGCCGCCGGCGTTTCACCCTCCCCCACGAGTAGGAGCGGTGTAAAGATTAACTTGGTCACCAAATTGGGTGGGGGAGTGTAAAGAGTCCGTAGGTATTGTGGACAAAGGTTAAGCGTGGCAGGATGGATTGCCAAGCAATAATCATGGGCATTACTTCTAGTTGAAGCCAAACGGAAACTAGCTCGAAATCGTTTAAGCAGCGTAATTAACTGGGTACCTAGAAGATTATAACTCTCCGGAACTGAGAATACTAGTTTACGTATATTATAACCATCTCGATTTCTACGCAAGGAGGAAATAGAAATAGCACCACGAGTCGAAGATTTATTGATTAATCAAATGTAGTTGAATATAGGAAATCAGTTACACAGCAGCTTGATCATGTGATTTACATTTGGTTATTATCAATGCACTTAAAAAGCCTACAAATAACGTTGGTATAATAGACGTTGATACTTCTGATCTCATTGCCCCAGTCTTCTGTCGATGACCAAACGGCACAGTGGGGATTGTCGCCCCAAACGAACATGAAAGCGGTTCGAATAAATAAGTTCACTCAACGTTCACTCAATTTTCAACAACACAGTGGCGTTCTCGAGTATGGAACACAAATGTTACATGAAGTTGGGAAACTTACACCAGAATGATAGAAACACATTTCGCTCAGTGATAGAAAGGGTGGCTCAAAAAATTAAGCTTGCCGTAATTCCCTCATTCACAACTGAGGCTGGAACTAATATTAGAGCCTAACGACTTGTGAAATGCCTGGACGGTTAATTTAATCTTGTGCCTAAATTATAAACGACCATTTGAGTGAGGGTCAGTACAGACCCGTGCGCACTTTGAAAGGTAGTTGTTTTCTGGGAAATCAGTTGGTTGGGCGGCCTTGACGACTTCCACCTCGCTTCCGGTTGGTCTCCGTCAGGAATAATGCTCACGATTGATATTTGGCCATATATCCTGCTAGATCCGAGCTGTCGCCATACCGCCTGGTGGCCAGATTGTTCTTAAAGACGCCTTAACTAGCTAAGGGAGAATGGAACACTTACGGCTACTGAAAGGCCTATTTACTGACTATTTGGAGGAAGTGTAAAAGTAGGTAATCACACCACAACGAAGCTGGTGGGTTCATGTCCCTCGAAAATCTAGTAATCTACCCCGTGCTTCAATCCTGTGAGGATAAAAAATTTATCTCCCAGGATTCGACTGATTTGGTGAACTTCTTTGATAGTCTACGAACCCTTATTTAGACTCCGGTAAGCTTTAACTTTAGTCATTATTATTGAAAAAAACTTTTCTGAGACCACTTAAGAGGCCTGCTTATTTGACAATTGGGTATTCGAGCATCTGTAAATTCATAAAAACCTGGTGTTTGCAACAGTGATACTCCAATTTTCCATGTCCTTGGCTCTTGTCCACCATGTCATGGGAGCTGCGCTTCATAACTCTTAGCAATTTTCATTTGGGACCCGGGTTTCTTTCGTAGTGAGGATGTGAACCTCGTGCAACATTTGCCAAACTTAGTGATAAGTGGTCGTCCTGTGTTCACGCCACAGTATCCAGCCCCACCAAACATGTTTAAACTTGACGCAAATGAAATTATTTCTGTGACCTAATCACAAGAAAAGCACATACATCTGGAATTTCACGTAGAAGCAGCATGGAGCCAACACAAGCACTCTTAGGACCGGATAACCGAAGTCTTCATCCTGTAGTCCCTCACAAATGGTCAAAAACAGAAACTTCAAGGACCGCCTATTCGAGAGCGCGAATGATGGGACGAGCGTGTTACTTTCGTGATTCTCCAGCCCAGAAAGTTCTAAAATGTAGGCGGCAACAGAGGTACTGCAGGAATCTATCAATCCCGGATCAGGTTGGAAATCGACAAGAGTGGATTTGGACACTGTCCCTCAAACTACATACCTATTAATCTTATGGACACCTTGATCAAAATACCAAAGAGAATAATTTTGAAAGCTTTCATGGTATATATGGAAAACAACCCCACACCATTGAGTTCACAGCACCACTTCCGGGGAATGCTCTAATGCCTGAAAACCTGCTTGCAGTAACAGAATGTTAGGTCAAGTCCAGTGACAACATGAAGTCCACTGACGTCGTAAGCCAAATTCTCGCTGAAGCGCTTCACAAAAGACTGTTTATGAAACTAGAAGGTCTTGCAATTAAGGGTGGTCTGCTCAGCTAGGTCAATGAATTTATTGTGGGCAATAGATTGAGTCAGGATCAGTTCGAAACTTCCTTATTGCCCGACAGTACTAAATGAAGTGCTACGATGCATCGCAATCAGCCTACCATCACTTATCTTGTGTATAAATCATTAACCTAAGCTCACCGAATCCTTTGGGGTTCTCTGTAGATATGACCTGACCATTTGTAAACCGCTCAATGATGATGACGACGCGCTCACTTTGCAGGGAGATCTGAACACGCTGCTAGATCGGTCAGTAGAAAGGATGCTGCTAATCAACTCACGGAAGTGTGCAATTACACAAACTGGTAAAGTAGGCGTCAGTACTCATGACAAATAAGGAATTCCACTTCCATCATTTCAGACACACATCGATTAACGTGTCATATTCAGTCATAATTTGAAGACTACGACAAAATCTCCACTGTAACAACTTGCAATTTTGGGCGCTATGCGCGGTTCGTAGGTGCTTTATTAGAAGCACTAGTGAAATCACACATACCTTATATACATTTCGGGTGAGGTCAGAATTATAGAACTGCATCCATGAGGCCAGCCTCTGTCCTTCTTTTCTTTTCCTTCACGTTCCCCAGTGGAACCTAGGGCTTGAAGTTTCTGTAGCAGTGTTTATTTTACAGTATGGGGTTGCTAGCCTCATGCCCAACCTTTCCTCCACACCAGCATTATTTCTGGCTTAGTGAGGTAAAAGGGATCAAACCCCGGACCATGAGCATGGTCGGCGAGCGTCCTAACCGCTATGCCACCGACGCACCGCCTTTGTCCTAAGCAGGACCAATAAATGCTAGGAAGGGTTGGTTGTACGAATATTTATTATATTAGGAGGGGCTTAACAGTGTTTATCTCCTTGAAACATACCATAAGGAGAGAGGAGACAGCATAGTGTTCAAAATATTACGAAATGACTATGGATATGACCTTTCTTCTCTTTTTTTTTCCATAAGGTCAAAAAATCTAACAGGGCATATCAAGAGAGTTCAGCAACGGAGAAAACACATCTTCGTGCAGTAATGGTTTCCTCGCAGAGTTCTAAGATATTTACTAAGAGATAATTAATGCTGACTTGAAATCTGTCATCCTCTTTCAAAAACCTAAATCGGTATGCACTGTCAAGATGCTTAAGGCCTAACAATGAGTCCAGAACAAAATCACATATTTTATTTCGAAACGAGAATGAGTAGCCAATGTACCCTCAAATAACATGTGAAACTATCCGGAAATGCTATCAGCATATTGGACATCTAAGTGCATGGTAGCGCTGGATTTGTAGGTGTCGGTACACTCTCAGTTCGTTGAGTTGTAATGGCTTTTCAATATGAATATGCAGTTGTCAGTCAAATACCAAGATCATTCGAAGAGTTTCTAATGTCACCAGATTCAAACGTTACTCTAAAAAAGGGTGGAAAGTTCAACTACGAAGAAGCTTGTAATGAGAGAGAGAAATTCGTCGAAGCATTAAGGCAAAATGGTGTTGATGTGTTGGAAATGGAAGCAGATGAACGCCATCCTGAATGTGTAAAAGTTGATGATACAGCTGTTATAATCAACGGAACAGCACTGATGTGTAATCCATATCGTTGTCACAGACAAGGAGAAGTTAATTTAATACGTCACACACTGAAAAAAGAACTTGGGATTAAAATTGTTGAGTTGAATACAGAAAATGCTCAGGTTGAAGGAAGCGATGTTCTATTTACAGGTGAGTACTTATAAACTGTTTATGCATATTTTAAGACATAATTACCACATACGTGTAGTAATGTTGCAATTCAGTTGCAATAGAAATTAGGCTTATTTTCCATAATCATGGAAGCAACTTTCTAACGAGAAGTCACAGTATTCGGTCTCACTTTGAAGTTCGAATCGTATTCCACTAAACTTAACTAGTTGCACCTACAGAATCTTGAAATCAAAAGGGATCTCTCGCTTTTATTTCCCATTCTCATGAATTCACTGTGAAGTTCCATCCTCATTAGGTGTAGATTAATACTCGCATTAGACTTATTTGCCATTTTTAACTGCCGCTTGGACGCTTAGTGGAACATAGCGCTTCGATCACTCGCCTGCACTGTACTGTGTTCTGTGACATTCTTTCAGATAGCTCAATGACAGCTTATACGCTTTCATTTCCTGATCACATGATATCAAATCATGGCCAATTCATCGTTTGCTGTTTACATAGGCTCCACTCAAGGCATACTCGGCGTCTGATGTTACTCATCTGTCTTCTCAGTGCGTCCCTGAACCATATGTAAGCACACTGACTGAATTGACATATATGTTAAAGATCCGAATCTTATTAGTTAGGCTTAGTGCATTGAAGCTCCCCACTGATTTCAGCGCTATGATTTGTCTTTTTTTATTCTAATTGGTTTTGACATCACCTCATCAGTTCTGCCTGTAGTTGAAACGATGCTGTGTAGGTAGGTGAAGGAAGTGATCTCGCCTAGATTTGTCCCACCGTTGGTGATTGGTGTTAGTTGGCTGGTTATCTTCATCACCTCCATCTTCCCTAACCTCACTTTTTCTGCCAACTTGTTGACTTTCGCCGGTATATCTTTGAGTTTTTTTATGAAATCAAACACAAATCGCTCGTAAAGTGCAGATCATTTATATTCTTCCTATTGTTCGAACGTATTCCTGCCAGTTCTTTTTCGTTAAACGGGAGAACTTTCACATCTAATATACTATTCTTTCTGTTAACGCTATTTATCGCTGTACTTATTAAGTATATTGATCTTTTTAATGATTAGTAAATAATCTTTGCGTGTTTTAGTCTGACATTTCAACTCTAACATAAATTGAATCTTATAAACATATTGGTTTAAAGTCTAACTCTAGTCCTAACTCTGATATCTGAAGAGAAGGCTCGCTTATCTACATGTAATTCATTATTCTTAGGGGAAAAAGGTTATTTTTGGTGTTATCACAAGAAAAAATTCCGTTTAACATATTGGAGGCGAAGTTAAACTATAGAAACCACCCTATCATGCATGTGATCCCTTCTACAAACAACTGAAGTTACCGGCGGCTTTGTGTTCTTGATTTGCTGAACGCATCTTAGATTGGGTATGTGAATAGATTCATCGGAGTTAGCAAAACGGTGAAGTTAAACAATAGCTTCCCGGGGGTGAGATCGCTCCAAAGACCTCGGACGCATGCTAGTCGTTGGATGACGACGCCTGTCATTATCATAGCGCAAATATGAACGCTATTCTCCAGTTAAGGGGCAATTTTCACCCGGATCACGTTTTTAAGTACCAGTGTTAATTAGCTCGTTAGGATTATAATTAGGACTACGGTTAGGAAAAGGTTTGCAATTAGGGTTAGGAATAAGGTTAGGGTTACGACTAGGAATAGATTTAGGGTTGGTATTATTTATTTCAATTGTTCTTATTATCCATATTTTCCTAGTAAGTAGTCGTTGATCCTCTTACTGGAAACAGTAGTAATTCAATCGAGGGCTTTTGGGAAGACTGCAAAATAGGATAAGGGCGATAAAAGGATCACACAGGAAGGCTCATCTTCAGTCGCCTCGGTGAATACACATGTACAGAAACTGGTCCAAAAGAAGCAGTTGGTTATTTCAGACACTCTCCTTAACTCGGCCATCAAGGTTTTAATGATCCTCAATTTGTTGTAGAAATTTCCCTGATTTTGTTTGACATTCCACTTACTATTACATTTTTATGCTTATTATAACTTATGCGTCTTTCTTGAGCTGTAATTTCATTGATCTTGACAAATCGCTAGTATTTAAAAACGCCGATATTGTTAATGACGATTATTCTAGAATATTCTATGTATGTAAAGATATATATAATTGTAGAGTCAGAAGAGGAAATTATCGAAAAAGATATTCTTTGTTCAAATCTTATTTGTGTTCTTTATTAGTTGGTAAGTTTGGTCTATAATAATTTGAATAAGGCATTTAGAAAACAAATTTCGCGAGATGATATCATTTCGTAATTTTTCTCTACAATCGCTTTACAACTAGCATCGTTCACAATAATAAAATTAAATGCATGACAATTACTGAGTTATACAAAACAAGAGTATTTACTTATGACCAGTGATGTACAAATAGGTCAAGTATTGTTAACAGCTGGATGATTCTTCTTAGTACCAGGGTTCTAGAAATTCCCTGACTACATTTTTGATGTTTCCTCAACTTAAAATTTCTACATTATCCCATTCAAATTCGCGTCCGTAATTATCTACATGCATTGATATGATGAAAGAATACGTATCTTGTTTTTTCACAGTTGATTTATGTTCTTGGATTCGAACATTAAGGGGACGCCCATTTTGACCGATATAATGTGTATTGCAGTTCATACAACTTATTTTGTAAATGGCATTAATTTTATCTTCTTTTTCTGTTGGATCTTTTTGATTTGCACAATATCTAATATTGGTTTCTGTGCTGTTTCAAGCGGTCTTAGTACTCCAGTCGTTATTTCAGAGATATTTTTTTGTACATGGTAGAGTAAATTTTCTTCTGTTCTTTGAGTATGTTTTCTTGTTGGTATTATGACTTGAGTTTGAACACATTTGATGAAATTGTGTGGGTAGTCATTCTTTTTGAAGACAGTTAGTAGATATTTCTCTTGCATTCTCTTCAGCATCGGAGCGCTACAGTGTGTTTAGACTCTTTTAACCAATGTATGCGCACAGTTTCTTTAGTGAGTTATTGGGTTATTATTATTATTTTTATTGTATTTCAGTATTTGGTCTCTGCTTGCGTGTGTTGATTTTCTGTATACCTGTGTTTCTAAATTTCCTATGTTAGTTCTTGTGATTAACACATATAAAAATGAAATTTTGTTGCCTAATTCTAATTTTGTATTTTCTCTTTCATAATTGTATTATTTTCTCCCCTTACTCCTTGTTAAACTTCTACCCCTTATTACCACTGTTGTTAACTTGATTATCGTTAATTTTTAGTTGTATTCTGCTCAACCCTGTCAATGAATTGTATTACGTCATTTATTTAATTGTATTTGAGTTTAACCCGATTGACGCCTACATTACCTAATTTGTTATCTAAAATGTACAAACACCTTTTGAAATATTCCTTTTGTTACTAAAAAAATTTACTATATACGTGTATGTGGTTGTATAGTTTGAAAGTGATATCGCCTGAAAAATTAAACTGATGCAATTATGTGCACTGAAACCCAGTCAAAATCAATCAGGAACCAGGTCTTTAGGCTATGACTGTGAGGAAAACATGGTTTGAATGTGGAAGACATGAAAAGGCGGGCTAGCTGTCTTTCATAAAAGGTGTCTGCGTTCTATTTCCCGTGATAGGTGTCATAGTAAGATAAGTAATGTTGAGGTTAAGCGTTCAGTGCTAGGCAAGTAGGGGAAATAAGTCGATGAGGTTGTGAAGCAGGGCCATCGGTTGAAATGGCTAGGACATGTGTTACTCATGCTCGCCTCATCATCGTTTTCCTCGAAGGCCAATGTAAGCCACTGACATAGGATAGGATCAGGTTGGAAAAGAATTGACTAGTGGTGGGTAATCAAACTAAAATATGGACTCATCAATCAATGAAATCCAGAACAACTGCTAGTTTAAGCCAGTCAGCAGCCCAGGTAAGGGTGTGTGGACTGACTGGCTGGTTGGTAAGAATCAATGACGCCTGGAGACAGTTGGTGGTGATGTAGCTCAATGATGGCTCAGATGCATTCACTCTTTGTAATTTTTCATGTCATCCGATAAAATTCTTCTTCCATATTACTACTATTCTAATTACCTCTTGAATCTCTCTTCAATCTCTTCTCTTCTCCTGCTTTGTGTTCTACATGGGGAGATTTGCAACTCGAACTGGTGCACACCTGTGAAAAGTTGTATGTTAAAACGAGTGAGTCAGTCAATGAGGTCAAATTTTGCGAATATAGGAATTTAGCGAAATGTAGAATGACTGTGAGCCCTCCCGGTCCCATGGAAAGATAAAAATAGTTTAGAAAAAAACTCAGAAGAAATTTGAACGCAGTAGTGTGGGAAGTACATAGCTGCAGTTCTGAAAAAGTAGCCTAGTTTGGTAGGGGAAAAGAGAGGATAACTGAATCTATTTGATTAATGACACGACACCCACATACTAAGAGATATGGAAAATATTATTACTACCAATAAAGTTTGATCACTGCTGGTTTCCCAATGGCTCTAACTGATAATAACCCGCAGACAGTAAACTGTCTCCACCATCCTTAGACACCTATGGAGTCATCCCATCAGGTCCTGCTACTTTGCCTCATTTCAGACTAGTTATAGCCTTAGTAACCTCAGTTAGGGACGGAGTACCTGTGTTTATATTTCGTTCAGGGAGGTGTTGGATGTTCGATAAGTTGAGCGTGGCTGTAGGCCAATTAAACTGCTCCTCAAAGTGTTCTTTCCAACGTCCTAGTCGTCTATCCTGAGAGCTGATTATGGTGCCATTTTATCTCAGAGATTGTTTCATTTATCAATTGCCTTTTTCCACCTGTTTCCCTGATAAGTCTAAAATGGTTGTTTGGTGTTACCAATCGCCAATGCCTTTTCTATTTCTTTCACTCTTGTCACCCACCACTGTTCACGTTCGTTTCGGAGGCTTCTTGTTAGTTTGCGATTGAGCAGCTTTCGCTCCTCATCATAATCGGAGCACGCCGGAATCAGTCTTCTTGCCTTAATCATTTCAGGTGAGGTAGTAGAAATCCGCTGGCTCTCACTAACTTTTGGTTTTAGGTTATTAAGAGCTTTTACAGCTGTGTCTACAGCCAGATGTATGTTGTGCTAGGTTTCCTCAGCAGGAGTCTTTCTGTCGATCGCGGATACTCGTTTTGCTATTTCTTCCTTAAATAGGGGCTCAGTATCTTGATCTAGTTGGTTGCGTAACTGCTTCGCTGCCAACAATTTTTGTATGTCCGTTTAATCTTGAGCATAAACGTGCGCGAACCAGAGCGTGATCGGAGTCTACACACATGTTCCAGAAGGAGCGGCAGTCTTCTACCGACCTTCGCCAACGATAACCTATGGCTATGTGATCTATCTGAGTCCAGCGTTGATTTGGTAATGGAAGTCGCCAGGTTACGCAGTGTCTCTCTTTGTGCCTAAAGTTAGTGCTGACTAGGAACAGATGATTATCTGAACAGAACTGTAGAAGATGACCACCGTTGTCGGTTCGTCGGCAGGGAACTCCATACGTGCCACCTATATACTTCTCAGTCTGGCATAATTTCCCTACTTGTTCATTGAAGTCGCCTGCTAAAACAACCATATCTGAGAATAGAGCTCATATAAAGAACTGGGTTTGAAGGTAAGTTATTTGAGCCACAACCTTGATGAACAAGGCAGTGAAGCAGCAGAGTCAGAAGCTGTTGTGTTCGTTCCCATGGTTCTCGGTGACCAGGGAAAGGTACATACGGCATACGGTCCTTTTGGGATTCTGGAGCTCTCATGCACACACATCATAGGTTGGGTTTAGAATCAATCAGGGTTTCTCATTTCCCCCTTTTGGCAAACCTGTAAGTTCGTATGTATGTATGTATAGGCGCTATGGTCTCAGGTTCGACCGAAGTGTACTATCCACCCTTGGCTGCCATACATCGTCTTTTATAAGGCTGGGGGGCAGGAGGTAAATTTACCTACTCACTCCGTATTTTACTTTTTATTTATTTTTTTTTGTTTTAGGTCAGGAGATTATTGTTGGTATGTCAGCGCATACAAATGAATCTGGGGCGCATGCTGTCGCTCGTGCCTTCCCTGAATATGCCACATCGATTGTCAAATTGCCTCAAGCCTTTCGATCGTTGAAAGATGCTGTCAGTGTCGCGGGGATTAATGTCTTGGCTGTGGGTGAAAGTGAAGCGGCTAAACAATTACTAAAGGTATGTTTTCCGTGATATTGTTTTTTATTATGCTCTTGGGTTCCGAGTAGAACATCGGACTTCAGCTATGGGGCACATCTCCACTTCATTCTGTTCTCTGTAACCCTTTTTTTAGCTGCCTCCCTGATTTCCCCATAAGCTTTCTCATATAAACACACGATTTCCCCAATGTGTTACCTTTCAGCGAAACGCCCAGCTCGTCTTTTCCCATTTCAATTCCGTCTGTAGTGCCTGCGTGGAGTGTGATTTCACTCAACGATCTCCTCAGTGCGTGTTTGTCCAATCCATCTCCACTTACCTTTGCATATCATTTTTAGGCGATATGTTGTTGCACGCTTGATCATGAGAAGTTTATCCTTACTGTTCGAAATACTTTTCGTGACATGCGTGCACCAATTCTCTTAACACTACTGAAGTTCTGATTTAACATTGAAAATCCTTGTCTAGTTCCGTATGCTGAGTGGGTGAGTACAGTAGGTCATACACATTGTTGTTTTCAGATGGAATGCAGATCTGTCTTGCTTTTCCTATCCTATCCTATCCGATCTGATGCGATCCTAACTGGTCGGCTGGCTCTGTTACATCTTCATCTGTTGTGTGTCGCTGCCTGTGTAGATAAATCAACCGTCATCATTTCCTGTGATCACTTGGAAGTCTTCTTGAGAAAATAATTCCGAAAGAGGTTTGCTGTCAATTCTCCTTCAATACACAGTACTAGGTATTTCCATGACAATGAAAACTTATGACACCACTCTTATGACTTAGGAGAACAGTTCGGTCAAGAATTCATCATAATTATTTTGAAATCTGTGAAATGTTCCCAGAATGAATGACTGAGTTTCGTCATAGAACTTTGCACAGGTGTGCACCAGTTCGAGTTGCAAATCTCCCTATATAGAACACAAAGAAAGAGAAGAGTACAGAGAGAGATAATAAACAAGTGTGAGTGAGAGGATAAGAATAGTAGTTATAGAATAGTTTTATTGGGTGACATGGCAAATCACAAGGAGTGGATGCATCTGAGCCACCACTCTGAACGAGGATTTTGAGCCATATCACCACCAATTGTCTCCAGTCGTCATTGGTTCTCACCATCCCGAGGACCCCAACCAAGTAGGCAGGCAGCCTACACCTTCGTGACTGGCTGCCTGGTCGGCCGGGTCGGTCGGTCGGTTTTCGACATAGAACTTTGCACATATGTGCGGCAGTTCAAGTCGCCACACTCCACGTAGCACACAAAACAAGAGAAGAAAGTAGGAGAAATGCATAATATAGACAGTAAACAGAGGTGTGAGAAAAAAGGAATAATAATAACGAAGAACAAAACAGTTTAATTGGAAATTATAAGTCACAAGAAGTGGATGCATCTGCGCCAGCCATTGAGAACGATTTTGAGCTATTTCACCTATTGTTTCCAACCATTGGTTTTTACTGTCCCGAGGACCCCAACCAGGAAGTCTACATCTTCCTACGTGACTGGCTTAAACTAGCTGTTGTGGATTTCATTGACTGGTGCCATGTTTTCGTTTGACCGCCGCTAGCTCTTTTCCAGCCTGGCCCTATATCAGCTAACATTGCCCGTCGAGGAAGGCGATGACTAGGCATACGTAACACATGTCGTAACCATCTCAGTCGATGTAGCTTCTTCACATCCTCATCGATTGATTTTCCCTCCTAACCTTGCACTCGACTGATGCCCCACTTGAATATTACTCACCGTATTATGCCACTTAAGTAACATGAGAGATAGAACTCAGACACCAATGATGAAAGACAGCTAAGCAAACGTTTCATATTCTTCACTTTCAGTGGCCAGGTCTTACAGTCATAAAGGAAGATAGAGCGAACTGCTGCTTCTGTGCAGTACACACGTCCTTTGGTTGGCGGTCTGGTATTCTGTCTGCGCGCGAGAGATTGCGTAAGTTGGCGTATGCCAAACGAGCCTTCTGTATCCGTGCTAAAATTTTGTGAGCAATCAGTCAGTGCGTTGGGGCTGATGGTGAAGTGGTAGTCACCACGCTCTACCACTTCACTCTTGTGTATCTTTAGCCTAACAGTGGATGAAGTCTAGTCTTGTTGCACCGTTTTACATTGGTTTGAAGCGAATCGTATGGGAAACACTTGAAGATGGCTGCTGAGGGTATTTTGAAGATGCAGCTGAATTTAATCAGCGCCTTAACCTAGGAGGGAGGACTTTATCATCCACATAATCTAAGTCAACAAGATTATTCCGTGGTGGTATGAAGTCAGTCCCTGAATCGCTGAAGTCTGTTACAGTTAAGTCCATTAGTGCTACGTTAATGATGAAACTCAACGGAATTGGGAAGAGTAGTGTTGGGCACCCATAACGGACACCACCACTGGTTGTCTTCACAGTTGTTAGATGACACCTCTCCTTAGGCTGTTATCTGGTTACATGGGTTCGATTAGAGTGTTTTCATAAATGCGATGTCAACCTGATGGACCATACAGTGGTCATGACTTCTTACTAGAACACTCTAAGCAACTTCTTCCAACTGCAACCTATCACTGAATAGCGGGCATCAGATTAATTTCCTAGTGGGTCAGTTTGTTATAGGGATTTGACTTGTTTCAAGTTTGATCATGGACTGATATCATAATGGTTACAGAAGAATTGCAAACCAGGGAGTACAGGATGGCTACCTGTTTCATCAGCCTAGTTGGTGACTCATCGGAAGTGCCTTCGTTGACAGACAATGTTAGTTAACATAGAATTAAGTTGTAAAATGGTGTACCGGTGGATAGGCCTCCGAAATCTGGCTTCATCAATCCACGAAGTCTTTATTGACAATTGGTTTGTGCTGCTAATCGCGTAGAGGAATGTAGACCGCCTGACCGACTGACAGACTCGTTGGAGTCCTTGTGATATTGAGAATCATTGGAGACTGGAGACTATTGATGTGATGAGATGGTTCTAAATCCTCGTCCTCAGTGACGACGCAGATGCATTCACTGTTTGTAATCATCCATATCCATTTGACTCTGATGTTTCTCGGATACATTTCTATTCAATAAAGATCTTTTGAACCTGACTGTTTGTGCTACCATTTATTTAGTATATATAGTTTATGTGTGCGTGTGTGTATGTTGAAACGCCTATAAGGTATAGTTCTACGTTGAAAATCCAACCAACGAGCCAGTTGGTCAGTCAGTAAACGAATTTCTTCCACTGATCTTTGTACATGAGAAATTGGAATTTCAAGTCTTAAACAGCCTAAAATGTGCGGGTATTGAAAAGTTGGACAAAAGTGCAAAGGTGTCATAGGTAGTAGCATCTATTCTTGTTCATTGATCTGGGTAGTTGGGTGAGTGCTGGCGGTGTGACGGGCGAGATTTCCAACCGTATCATGGAAGCTAGGGTGGCTACGCTAATTGAGCCACCTCTGGTGCCATCGTGACGTTAGTCTGTCTGGCCGTCAAAGGTAGGATATGCAGTGCTTAGGTGCGCGCAGTCTTCTTTTATACCTGTTAAACCTGGCCTATCCGAGTGAGCTGATAATGTGAGGCAACTCTGCGTATTCAACCATCACTGTCTCTGTAGAATTGCTTGCGTTCGATGGCATCATTGTGTGATTAATTCGCAGGTCCGGTAGCGTGTGTGTGGACACAATGAAGATCACCATTCACTGAGTGTCGTCGTCATCTGGAAACAGGCTTCGGTGGCTTGGACATGTGCTACGAATGTCATCATACTAGAGACCCGTCTTTGCTTGCTAACTCTGGACGGAATGGAAGAAGCGAAGAGGTGGTCAGCTATCTGTGACACTGCATCGTGGGATGAAGGATATTTGTGTTAGCTTAGCGTCATCGGTTGGCGCATCACGACCCCCTGGTTGGGGTTGGAGAGATAGCTCGAATCATTGGCTTGGAAAGTCATTGGATATGGCTAAGAATTTCAATCATCAATGGTGACTATGCTGCATTTTCCTTCTTTCCTCCCTTTCTGACAATCATTTGATGAATGCTGTTTGGTCTTGTAAAATATAGGTGCTTCCTTTCCATTCTCTATTTCTCGTTTCATATGCTGTTGTTTCATTATTATCTTGATGCCTATAGTGTATCGGGTTTTATGTTTTAGGTAAATAATAGAATAAATAGATTGTTGTTCAGGATCATATTACACACAACGGTGGTGGTGACCCTCATTTTCTATATGCACACTTGTGTCGTCTGTCTGTCTATCTATCTATGTGTGTTGAAGGTTACTGAGTGACTGACTGACCGACCAGGCGGAGGCTTGTTGTTTTGGCTAAGTTGCTTAACAGCTTTTTTAGTAGAAACTCTGTATGTATGTATTTTTGTGCTGGTGTGGATGGATGGGTGTCTGTGGCGCTGATTGTGTAACTGTGATACTGTCGCCTAAGTATTAGAAATACACACCGTTATTATTAAAACATATGTACACACATACACATACCCACCTAACTGACTCCGGTTGTGTTTCTACTCACAATAAAATTAACGCCAACATAAACATCATTTTCAAAGTTGATTATTATCATTGTGTTTACATTGAGTGAACAATAGAAAAATAACAAAAACATTGACTGATTGAAATGTTAGTGTGTGTTGTCGTGTGTGTATCTGTTTTTTGAAATGTTTATCTAACCGCGGGCGACATTTTTTGATTACAGTTTGATTCCACACCGTATTTTTGGTACAAGTGTGGAATTTTCAGCATGTGATATCGGTAGCCCAAATTTTGCAGGCCGACCATTGATATCAGGTGTGCATCATCAGGGTATCGAACCCCGGACCATGTGCATGGTCGGCGAGAGTCCTAACCGCCGTGCCACCGACGGACACAAAATTAAAGGGAGGACCGTGAGGCCTCCCCACTGACAAAAACTACACGCCCGAGCGCACCCGATTAGGGTCCGTCGCGAGTTTAAACCCACCGAGGTGCAATGGTGAGCCTCCACCCGGGGTCAGAGCATTCTTGATCACCCTGAATCCGGCGCCGTCTATGTCGCACAACAAACTCGAAGAATCACTGGCGAAAACTACCAACAACAAGTGGTTGTGGCAGCGAGGACCGCAAGAACTTCCTTCAAGCAAGTGGATACATAGAGAAGACAGAAATGATGTAGATAACCAACCAATCAGCAGCAGCAACAACAAGCAAGCACCAATTACCGTCATCAGTGGGATAAATTAGAAAGAGCTGTCGTCCTTCACTTATCTGACTAGGCAACATAGTTTCAACTACAGGCGTTGGCACAGATGTGGATGTCAAAATGAGGCAGAATTGGAAAAGTAAGGCAGACCATCACTCTGTAATCAGTTTGGAAGTCTGCCTGGGGTTGTGTACTGATGAGGAGTGCCACAATAGTACGGAACAGCTACCCTGTACCTTGAACTGCTTTTTTTCAATGGTTCTCTAACTGATATCACACGGTGATCAAACTTCAAAATCAGTCAAAATGGTTTTCCAACTAAGATCAGCCTGTTTCTGATTGATTTATTGATTGTTATGTTGAACTGAAACTCTTTGTATAGGATTATGTTAACAAGTTGGCTCACTCCTCGTTATATTGCTCATCATGTTATACTATTTAACACACGAGATACACAGATAGATAAAACTTGACATACGGGAGAGATAGATAAGTAAACACCTGTCATTGGTCAAAAACGACAGTTAGTCGGCCTTTTCACATCATATCTTCCAATTTTTCAGCGACCATTGCCTGATTCGCAATCATAAACGAGAGGACAAAGCGAACTGCTGTTGTGTCGCCCTACTTAACCTATCTAATCGATAATAAGCCATAGAAAAGACAGGGAAGGTAGGTTGCTTGATGGCGAGGCTGGCTAGCTAGTACCACAACAACAACGGCTGCTGAGACTTCTGAACACCTTTGGAGCTCGAAAGCCACCCCACCACCGTATATTTCATTCAATGCAAAGGAAGGATTTAGAAAACACAACATTGCCAGTTTATTTGGATACGTTTACTAACTGGTGAATAGACTATGGAATACTCAATATTTTTGAAAATAATAGTGATAATTTTCGAAGTTTCAGTAACATGTGAATAAAAATAATAATTATCTGGGTTGTTTAGTCACATGAGACCAAAATGTGTTTTTTCTAAAATCTTTCAGGTTTTTCAGATCACCAAACTAATCTTGTCAAGTTGAATTTTGTCTATTTACAGCTATTTTCTTATACTTGCGAAAGTATGAGCTCTTAGGATAGATAACTGAAACTTTGGAGGGGATATTTTGATGAGAACTACTGTTTGACGACTGGTCTACGTTGGCCACCGTTCTCAACTTGCCCAACATCATCCAATACCACCTGTCTGCATGGGATGCAGTTATAAGTAGATAGGAAGAGTGAGTGGACTGGTGGTGTGTGTTGACTGCTTCGCTTATTTGGAAGGGTACATCAGCCCTAAACGCAGACTCTTGGCTGATGAAATCTCAGTATGTATACAAAAACGGCGGCTGGTGTTGGGGTATTTATCAACTTATGCCATCTCTGGCTGGCTATCGATTGAGGAACCTCTGTACTCGGGTCAGCAGCTTGCTCTGTCCTCCCTTATGGATGTAGCACACGGCCATTGAAAGTGGAAGACTTAAAAAGGATGGCTAGTTGTTTTTCATCATAAGTGTCTGCATTCTGTCTCCCATATTAGGTGACATAATAGAGTGAGTAATATCGAAGTAAGGCATCGGTCGAGTGTTACTTTGGTAAGGAGGGAAGGTCAACCGACGAGGATGTGAAGCAGAGCCATCGGTTGAGATGGTTAGGACATGTGCTACGCATGCTGGTCTCGTCATCGATCGCCTTCCTCGATGGCCAGTGTAAGCCAATGACATATGATAGGATTAGGCTGGGAAAGAGTTAGCTAGGAGTGGGTAATCACACCAAAACATGGCCTCATCAGTCAACGAAATCCATAACAACAGCTAGTTTGATCTGGCTGGACAGCCAGCGAGCCTCGAACGTGTGGGCCGCCTGCCTACTTGGTTGGGGTCCTCGGGATGGTAAGAACCAATGACGACTGGAGACAATTGGTGGTGATATGGCTCAAAATCCTCGTTCTGAGTGACGGCTCAGATGCATTCACTCCTCGTGATTTGTCTTATTATCCAACATAACTCTATTGTTCTTCCATATAACTACTATTATTTTTCCGTAACTCACACTTCTGTTCATAGTCTATCTCTCCTTTGAATCTCCTTCCTCTTGGTTTATATGCCACACGGAGGGAGTACGGCAAGTTGAACTGGTGCACACCTGTGAAAAGTAGTTCTGTGTTGAAGTCGATCAGTCAGTCAGTCTCCAATCATTTAATAACAAGAATTCTGAGTGCACCATGATGTCGAGCCACTTAGTGGCATGGTGGCCACGTTGGAAAATTGACTGACAGCATTTAATCTGTATCAAACAAAGGACTAGAAGTATGCCACTAGTAAGCGTCCAATCAAAGATCTAGTGGATTCAGAAGAAATGCCTTATTTTGACTAATTAGGGCATGCTGGAGCATATTCCTTTTTTGTTGTATTTTCTGCTGTCCGCCATGACACACTGGCCCCACGATTGTCCATAATGCCTCATATCCCATTCAGCACACCGTCTCCTCCATGCCACCCTCACACACACACCCAACTCATCGTTTCCCATCCAGGTTCCACTCGAGCAATGGTCTGCAGCGCGACTTCGACCAGCGGTCTCTCTCAGCATGTGTCTCATCCATCCATTCACTTTCATCTCCTTCGTCATATTTATTCAGCAAGAAGTTCTTGATTGGTTCGTTGTCTGCCAGATTTTCTTGTCGCTAATTCTTTCTGACAGGCTATTTCATCTTCAGTATGTGGAGCTAGAGAAACGGGCAGCTGTTGATAAAAGTCTACCACAGTAGCCCATTTGAAATGCTTTTTGTGATGCACACTCCAAGTTTCTGACCCATATATACAAGCACTGACTGGCTTTACATTGGTTTTGAAAATGTGAATCATGTTGTATTTGGTGAGGCGGAGTGCAGTGGGGGTAGATTTCCAAACTGATTTAAGAGTGAAGAATTGCCTGTCTTGCTTCGCGCCTTTCCGTTCTAATCCTACCTGGCTAACTTTGACATCGTCATCCTTGCTACCGCCTGTAGTTGAAACGATGTCTAGTCAAATAAGTGTGGAATGTGACCTCTTTCAAATTTATCCCATCGATAGTGATTAGTGCTTGTTTTTGGTTAATTGTTCGATGGGTGCCAACAAACACGAAACCTAAGCCCCACAACAGGTCTTCCTACCGATTGCCCCTAATCTTCTAATATTGATGTTTAGAAATCCAATGATGAACAGTCTTCATTGTAGCATTCAGAACCGACACACACGCAAACCTCGATGATGCATAAAACGCTTCACATTGTAGATTCTTATATCTATCTATTTATTTTGGTCGTTATTTTTATTTCAGGAGATTGGACGGGTAGCCTCACACACATACAAAGTGATTACTCTACCTGAAGACCATGCTGCCAATGTCCTGTATATCAACCATCACTTGCTTCATTTATCCTCCCAAATGATACCAAAAAGTATAGGAGTAAGTTCTCATTGTGTTTTTCCTTTGTTTATTTACTTCAATTTTTATATAAAAGCACTAGTTTTGTGTACATTTCGGGGTGGGGAGACCAAGAGAGAGAGGTACACCTCACAAAAACTCATAGTTTTTGCGACGGTTGAGATGGTGCTGTCCAGACCGAGGCAGAGACCAACGCAAGGGCCACACTCCTGAGGTTTCGACTTGATGGCTGATCCACAAGATGACATTGGTGCGGCGGCGTTTGCATAGTTTCTTATGTGCTTGCTTGCTACTCAGATCGAGGTGATCCACCAAAAAAACCCACATGACTACCGTTTCACTTGTTTAACGGAACAAGCTCATCACATTCACCGGTGTATCCGGTTTGACCCAGCCTCACAGACACACAGAGGTCAAATTAGTTCAAACTACCGGAATCCTGACTTTCTAATTACATGGGTGAATTGATACTGCTACTGTCCCTCTTCTAGTGAAGATTTCTCAGAATTTTCCCTTTGAAAATGGGAAGTACTTTAATCACTATTTATGTAATCTGGATAATTGGGAGAAGTGACCCCTTTCAAATTTATTCTGTTAGTAGTGGTTAGTGCTGGTTGTTGTTGTTGTTTGGTTATCTTCATCATCTAGGAAGCATCGTTTCAACTACAGGTGGTAGCAAGAGTGAAGATGTCAAAGTTAGCCAGGTAGGATTGGAACGGCAAGGCAGACCTTTGTTGCAATCTGAACCCCAGGGAACAATAATAATGACGCTAATATCTGTGATCTGTTTTATACAGTAAATAATGAATCACAGGATTTACTCGACAATTTTCACGTCTTTCTAGTTTAGGACTCCTCGTTCAGCAACAGTATGCACCCACGGGAGTTCCTAACAGGGCCTTCTGGTTATAAGGTGAGCCTGTATATCGTCGAATGGCTTCCTAATGAATTCGGACTTCTGCCATTTCGTGATTTTAGCGTGACAATCACCAACCAATGGCATCGGTGGTGAGTATTTGTTCTCATAGTTGAACTGGTGAGTCTCAGTGGTCTGGGTTACGAAATTTCACTTAGCAACTCCAGACAACTTCGTCCCATAATAGGACCCAACAGATGTGTTCAGTACCCTTTGATTTTCAATAATTCTCTAATTGACATCTAACTTGAAACAAATCAAATCACTTCCCCCCGACAGAGTTTAGGTTTTCGGAGCTTAGTAATTCAATGTTGAAACTTTTGTTTTCGTTTTAATTCACTGAGTATTGTCCCACATTATCTCTCTATAGTGAAGCGCAGATAAAAACGACGAGTTGGTTGGGGACTTGGGTCCAGTACGCACACACTGGAATTCAAACTCCCGGACCTTGTGTGTCCAAGGTGAGCTTGTTGATGACTATTCAGCTACTGGAACTCTACAAACCTCCACTTGAAAATTCATCTGATGCTCATTAATGGCTGGCTGTATACACAGCAAGAGTTACTTGGAGTTCTAGCTAGAGAAGTCGTATGAGACCAGTGTGTAAAGTGTACACACCAAGTCAGATAAGAGAACAGTTAGTTAATTGCCGATTAGGCTGGCTGTGGTGGCAGTTGTGCTGTATCTCTCAAATTGTGGCGGAGATTAGAATTCCTTGGCCACTGGATTCTGCTCTCCCAGTGGCTGAATAGTCTATTAGCTCTCCTTATTACCGGAAGGTTCTGCGTTTGAACCCCTGTGGTGGGTGCGTACTAATCCTGAAGAGGGAGTCCTAAACTAGGAGGATGAAACATCTGTCCAGTACTCCCAGGTTTTCCAACGGTTTTCTCATTGATGTTAACTCGTCATAAAAACTGGTAAGCTGCACGCAAATGAGTTGGACGCTAAACAAGACAAACACCGTCCAGTTGATGTTTGGGTCACTTCAATTTGGCTGGCTGGTTGATTTGAATACTGGTATACAACTGCTCGTGCGTCGGTGGTATAGTGGTTAAAACGCTCGCCGACCATGATTCCTTGATTACCATTCGTAGTGGTATTCAACCCTTCTTGGACCTCTTCAGGTGATGACGAAATCCCAAGGTGGTCGGTGATCGTTCGTTGACCGCCTCTTGGGTCGCATAATTTAACTGCCACCGGTTGTCCATTGCGTACTCATTATTAATTTTTTTCTCTGTAATTCTTTTTTGTTTTTGTTTCATAGATATTTGAAAATAAAATCAATTATTATCGTAGTCAAGTTCATATCCCAGAGTTGTACAATGCTGGTATCCCATTGTCAAAGTTAGCTTTATTCGCTGGACCGTTTGGACGTCAGAAGAATATTATATCGACAATTCCTTAAATGCCTTTGATGATTGTGAAAGAAACAACGATTATTCATTCCTCCTCAACACTTGTCTTGTGACTTATTCTTCGACTTTTGCTTTCTCCTTTTTTTTTAATTAGTTTGGTTGTTGATTGACTGACCCTTTATCGCTTCTATTATTCTCAAGCTTTATATCTATATATCTATGTGTATATCTGCTTTCTTTCAGTTTTGACAGGGGGAGGAAGTGGTTGGGCGACTGTCTTTTCTCTTGATCAATCCAGTTTATGATTGTGTTGAGTTACCTTGCCTCATATCAAGTGGAAGAGGGAGTGAGTGGATAAACTAACTAGCCCTGCCCTGCCCTGCCTCGCTCTCAACGACATTATAGACGAATAACGACAAATACGACGATGTGAAACTTTATTTTTCCCTCCGATCCTCCACTTTTTTTTCCATTGATGATACTTCCTCATACTGAAACTGCTAATTTTCATTATTATTATTATTATTATTATCGCATTTTTTATATATTACAGTACACTCTGCTGCCTTCAAGTATACTTATGCATACAAATATATGATAATATAATATTATTATTATGATTATAAACTTGATTATTATTATTACTATTCATTTGGATTCTGTTTCCAGTGGGGGGCTCATTTCCATTTCATCCTCAGACGTCTTACTCGTCGCTTCCCATTCGGGGAGTGTCAGCTCGAGCGATTACGTGACATGACTGTTACTTGGTGATGATACTCAACGAGTAGGGCTTACAGGGAGTTGTCATCTGAAGTGGTGACGACTAGTGGCGTCCGTCAAGGATGCCCATTATCCCCATTTCTATTCAACTTCATCATAGATATACTAATGGACTTAACCCTAACTCACTTCAGCGACTCAGGGATTGACTTGCTACCAGGGAATAATCTCGCTGACTTAGAATATGCAGACGATATAGTCCTTCTAGGCGAGGACGCTGACAAAATGCAGAGTCTTCTGAACACCTTGAGCTGCAATCTACGAATGTTTGGCATGCGATTCGCTCCCGCCAAATGCAAGATGATGTTACAGGATTGGACTACACCGACTCCTAGATTAGAAATAGGAAGTGAAGTGGTAGAGCACGTTGACCGCTTCACTTACTTGGGAAGTACCATCAGCCCCAACGGGTTGATCTCTGACGAAATCTCAGCACGGATACAGAGGGCTAGTTTCGCATATGCCAGTTTACGCCGTCTCTGGCGTAGACGTGATATCCAGCTGGCTATCGACCAAAGGGCGTGTGTACTGCTCATCAGTCCGCTCCGTCCTCCTTTATGGCTGTGAGACCTGGCCATTGAGAGCGGAAGACATGAAAAGATTAGCTGTCTTCGATCATAGGTGTCTGCGTTCTATCTCCCGTGTGAAGTGGTATAATAAGGTGAGCAATATTGAGGTTAGGCGTCGGTCGAGTGCTAGGTAAGGAGGGGAAATCAGTCGACGAGACTGTGAAATTACATCGACTGAGATGGTTAGGACATGTGTTACGTATGCCTAGTCATCGCCTTCCTCGACAGGCAATGTTAGCTGATATAGGGTCAGGCTGGAAAAGAGCTAGCGGCGGTCAAACGAAAACATGGCACCAGTCAATGAAATCTACAACAGTTAGTCTAAGCCACGTAGGAAGATGTAGACTTCCTGGTTGGGGTCCTCGGGATGGTAAAAACCAATGGTTGGAAACAATTGGTGACATGGCTCAAAATCGTTCTCAATGGCTGGCGCAGATGCATCCACTCCTTGTGACTTATGATTTCCAATGAAACTGTTTTGTTCTTCGTTATTACTATTCCTTTGTCTCACACCTCTGTTTACTGTCTATATTATGCATTTCTCCTACTTTCTTCTCTTGCTTTGTGTGCTACATGGAGTGTGGCGACTTGAACTGCCGCACATATGTGCAAAGTTCTATGTCGAAAGCAAACAAGACTCAACGAGTCTCCATGTTGCGTGTTACCGATTCGTCTTTATTTTCTTAGGCATATTTTTAGGCGATATAGATTCTTGGTTGGTTCTTTGCCTGTTAAAGTTCCTTGTTTCTTTTTTTTCTTATCTTCCTTACATCTATTGAGATGGTTAGGATGTGTGTTATGCATGTACACCAAGCCATCGCCTTCCTTGAGGGTCAGTGTTAGCAGCTGACATTAGTTCCATCAGGCTGGAAAAGAGTTAGTTAGTTTGAGCCAGCCAATTAGGAAAGTGTAAACGTCCTGACTGGCTAGACGGGGTTCACGGGATGGTAAGAAACAATGACTGCTGGGGGCTGTTAGTATGATATAGCTTAAAATCCTTATTCTCAATGATGGCTCAGATGCATTTACTCTTTGTGTCATTTGTCATATCATCCAATAAAACTACTCTTCTTCTTATATATAACTACTGTCATTTTTCCCGTCACACACACTTGTGTTACTGTCTATCTCTTCTTTGAACCTCACTTAATTTTCTAGCTTTGTGTTCTACATGGAGAGAGTGTGGCAACTCGAACTGTTACAAATCTGTACAAAGTAGTTTTAAGTTGGAACTCGTCATTCAGTCCTTCTGTCTGACTATTAGCAAAATAAGTTCCAGACTGATGAACTGCCAGAGTTCATTGTTGCATATTTAGACTTTCTCGCAGAATGGGCCATCAAATCCTCAGTTAACAGCGAACCATCTTTCAAAACACTCACGAAGTTGACATGAGGGTTGAAAATCCGGATCCTCTAATTTATGTTATATAGACATTAGATTCCCACAGTGATTTCAAATCATTCATACGAAAATATATCCCCTTTCCCTATTCCAATCCTGGTTTCGATATCATTATTATATGCTGTTGTCTGTAGTTAAAAGATTCTATCCTCGACATTAGTGAAACATGTGGAGAATTCAAGCATTTGCGAATAATCCAGCTGCCAGTCGGTGTTCGCAAACACTAAGTTTGTTTAAAAAAGATGCCATAGTCACAGGCAGAGTGAAAGCCAGATGCTCTGTATCATGTGAGAAGGCGAAGTTAGTTAGTTAATTAGTAGTCTCATGCCTACCACAATCTTCTCATCACACAGGATGAATGGCGTGCCTTCCAGCAAATAAGGTGGCATCCTACACAGTATATAATATTAGGCCGCATGCATAGGAAAACATGAAGTCTTCATAATAGCACATTTTGTCCTACCCACTTAACTACATACACAGCTACCTAACTATATACGAAAATATCTCACGAAATACTGTCTTCAAATTCATGGAAATTCCTGATGATAGCGTGGCTAGTAAGAGTGACACGGACTGCCCGTCTGAAGATGACGCAGTAAGTGCCATCATGAATGTTATCACACCGGCGGTTACTATCCCAGTTACCCCGGAAGTAAAACCTACTAGGCGTTCGAAGCGTCTTAGTAAGCGAAAAGGTAACAAAACGGAAGCTGTAAACAGCATCTCAGCACTTGAGAACACTGTAAGCGAAGTTCACCATGAAGGTGGTGCAGACACTGATCTTGATTGTACCATCAAAAACTGCAGCAGCCCTGAGAAGCAACTGCAGGCAGATGATAAGTGGGTAACAAAAATAAGCAATCGGAAGAAATATAGTAATATTGATGGTAGGTAAACGTCTGTCACCTGTAGCCAGGCTGCATCAATAGTGATAAGAAAAGACGTAGCCACTGTTAAATACGACAAGCTCTCCTTAGACTCTAACATAATTGTTGGAAATTTAGAAGAGTCCAAAGAATCTGATCCCGTGAAAAGGCACGATCACGATCTTAAATTAGTGAGTAGTATTATAAGGAAAATGCTCCCAGCGAATTTCCCTGGAGTATCGATTAAAAAGCTGATTAGAATAGGCAAAAGAGATGATGAATGTTCTAATCAGCGTAGGTGGCTTAAGGTAGTCTTAGGTTCTCCTGATGAACGGAATCATCTACTGGCTAATGTACACAACCTTACCGAGTCAGGAATTTCAGTCAGACCTGATTTATCTCTTGAAGACAGACTTAAACGAAAAGAAGTTTTGTCCCAGCTAGAAACAAGGCGTAAAAATGGTGAGACTAACCTTAAACTAGTGGGTTTTCAAATAGTCAGGTCTTGCAAACGTATGCTTCCAAGACCTGTGTGGATAAGCCGGACCGCATAGGAAGCCTGAAGGTAGTGTACACTAATATACGTAGTATCGGGAACAAATTTCACGAGCTAGGTGTATTAGTGGAAGACCTTAGCCCAGGTATTGTGGCCATTACTGAAACATGGCTGGTTCCTGGATTAGATGACACACCTGAGCTATGCGGATTTAGTTGCTTGCGCAGCGACAGGGTTAAGGGTCGTAGAGGTGGCGGGGTTGCTCTGTACATCAACAACTCCCTACATGTTCGTTCCGTGAAATCTGAAGCGTATGCCAGTGGGACAAGTGAGGTAATTAGCTGTGAAGTAAGCTTTGCAACTGGCACTCTACTCATTGGAGTTCTGTATAGAAGTCCCTATTGTCAGTGTGATGACTTTATTTTAGATCACCCCAAACAATGGAGTAAACACAGTAGCTGTCTTATTCTAGGTGATTTTAATGCACCTCATATAGACTGGGTAGCTGTCACATCTCCAGGATCCGCTAATAAGTTTGACAGCCGGTTACTCTTGACTACCATGGAAAATGCCCTGACACAACATGTCTTAGGTAGTACAAGATTTGGTTCTACCCAAGGATCTTCCTAGCTGGACTTAGTGCTTACTCATGACAACGACGACGTGGATGGTTTAGTTATTCATTCACCTCTAGCAAACAGTGATCATGGCGTGTTAGATTTTAACTTAAGGGCTGGCAATTTAGTCAGTTTTCAACCCAAATCCCGACCTAGTGTTTGGCATGCTGACATAGTCGCTATAAAGGAGCGTGCTTCAACTGCCGACTGGTCAGTCAATATTGTCTCATCCATTGAAGATGAATGGGATAGATTTATGAATACACTTGAGAGGGTTACCACTGATTTCATTCCCTGGAGGGTTCCTAAAAGGCCAACAAATCGGCCACCATGGATAAATAGACAAGCTATAACACTCCTAAGAAGGGGAAAAAGGTTCTGGAATCTCTTTGTTTCTACTGGGCTACAGCAGTTCCGGTTGAAATACTGTGAAACCAGAAACCAGTGTAAAACTTTGATTCACCAGTCAAGGATAGCTTACGAAACCCAGTTAGTTAAAAGTTCACCAGGCTGCCCAAAAAGACTCTTCTCATATATCAAGAGAAGAACACGTAAGAGTGATGCTATCCCACCTCTTATGCTTGAAGATGACCAGACGAACATGGCTGAGGATAACTTGACTAAGGCTGAGGCTTTGTCCAAGCACTTTAGTCAAGTATTCTCTGATAATATTGATACCAGCTTTGTAACTTTTCCAGAAGGTATCTTGAAGATGGCACCTTTATACATTGGAAAGGATAGTGTCCTAAAGTGGCTTCTAAGGCTCAATCCTGGTAAGTCCAGTGGGCCTGATGAACTCCACCCACGTATATTAAGAGCATTGGCTGAAAACATAGCCGAGCCATTGTCGGTAATCTTCAATATGTCTCTGGACAAGTCTAAATGTCCAAGAGACTGGAA